ATCTGGTAACGCTGGTAGATGAGCAAAACTTCACCCGTGCACAGGTCAATAAGCACAGACACAAGGTGGCAGAGTGAGTCACTGCTTGCATAACAACTGGCGGAGCTCAATGTCAATGTTCAACACCGAGACGCAGCTCGCTGCACAGTGGTGCCAAGGGTATCAAAACACGCGCTTTTTTATTTACCCTGAAATGGTTGAGTAAAGGTACTCGGTGTCTTCTGAGAAGTTTCTCGGGTTACAACAATCCTTCTTATGGTAAAAGAAAGTGAAAGATTAATCCACCTAAAAGTGAGATGCCAAATTTATTTTTTAATATGATAAGATACAAAATAATTGTGTTCTGCAAAGCTGTAGAGAACATTACTGTGAACAACTTTGCTCAAGACTATAACTTTCTAGCTCTAATAACTGCTGAAATATAAAGGTTATATTGTGAAAAGAGGCATACAAATGGATATCCAAGCAACCTGGGTTATTTCTAGTGACTAACAAAATGACTCGGGATCAAAACCAGACCACCCCCAAACGACCCTTGACTGAATCGGTTATGTACTTTAAATATTTTTCGATTTTGTCAATAATCAATAACAGCATCATTCATGTTTAATGTTTATTACGTTCCGATTCAAATTGTACGAATCTCAAAGAGCGCATGCAGTTTTCTCTTCGTCAATATCACTGTTCTCGCCGTTGTCATCTGTGATGGCCAAAAGTTGCAGAGCATCCCCGGACCACACCTTACTTTTGTTTTTCGGTAGTTAACTCATGTTGGAAATTAACGGATCGGAGGATTCCAGAAGATGGTGAAGAAGATCTGTATTCGTGGCTTCTCTGGAAATCTTTCTTGTGTGGTGGGTTCTGTATTGCTTGGTAGCTATGTTTCTGCTTTCCTGGGCCTCTTCAGATAGTTGCCCAATGGATATTAGAAACGCAAAATCACTTTCGCCCCGTGTTTGAGTACTTTATGAACAGACACGGGGAGATAGTACCATGGATATAGATCGACTAGTTTACGAGACGTTTCTATTCCGCAGCTTTCGAACCTCTCGCAGTTAAATTCGTAGCCTCAAGATAGTATAAGAGTTTTTAGTTGAATACACATTTATCCAAGTATTCATATGATTTATTACCTGACGTTAATTTCCAACATGAGGGAACTACCGAAAAACAAAAGTGAGGTGTGCTCCGGGGATGCTCTGCAACTTTTGGCCATCACAGATGACAACGGCGAGAACAGTGATAATGACGAAGAGGAAAGTGCATGCGCTCTTTGAGATTCGTACAATTTGAATCGGAACGTAATAAACATTAAACATGAATGATGTTGGTTTTGTTTATTGACAAAATCGAAAAATGTTTAAAGTACATAACCGATTCAGTCAAAGGTCGTTTGGGGGTGGTCTGGTTTTGATCCCGAGTCATTTTGTTAGTCACTAGAAATAACCCAGGTTGCTTGGTTATCCATTTGTATGCCTCTTTTCACACCTACTCGATAACAGTCCCGTGGTTTCACAAAATCGCCATTTCAAATTCTGAAAAGTGACAAGTTTCAATGCAAGTATTTCGGTTAAGGGTCAAGTGGGGGCGGTCTGGTTCCTTCACCATTTCATTGCTCAAAGAAAGGCCTACTCGTTTTTGCCCGTTTAGAAGTTATTGGTATTGGAAATTGGGTAGTTTTCAACCAAAAAATGTAACTAACTTTTCAAATATTAATGATAGCAATTTGCAGTCTTCTGAAAAGATATGTAATTTGCTGTTTCTAACATCTTTGTACAACATGCCACACGTAGAAATATTATAGAAAAAGTTACAGGTACAAAACTGATTTTAACGATGTCTACACAATATAACCTTTATATCTCAGCAGTTATAAGAGCTAGAAAGTTATAGTCTTCAGCAAAGTTGTTCACAGTAATGTTTTCTACAGCTTTGCCGAATGCAATTATTTTGTATCTTATCATATTGAAAAAATAAATTTTGCATATCACTTTTAGGTGGTTTAATCTTTAATTTTCTTTTACCATAAGAAGGAATGTTGTAACCCGAGAAACTTCTCAGAAGACACATAGTACCTTTACTCAACCATTTCAGCGTAAATAAAAAAGCGCGTGTTTTGATACCCTTGGCACCACTGTGCGCTGGTTGGGATTAGCTGCATGGTTCCGTTAACGGCATCCGGAACTTTCGTTACGTGCTCCTGGTGAATCGATGCACCTCTAAAGAGATAGAATCTACTATTTACCTAAGTAACACATCTTCATGAAATTATGTTGAGTAAACTTCCTTATAACCAAATCCAGTGTTGCTTGGGTAGTAAGGTGCTCATTATGTCCCGTACATCGACTGTTCACGTGGTTTGACACCACAAACCTAAATCGTATTTTGTTTAGCATAAAACCCTGTTTTTCCCTATCCCAATCAGTTTGTCAAACATTGCAGTCATTTTGTATGCTTAATTCAGCAACCAACTTAAGGTGCTCATTACGATCCTAGTCCCCCTATAATCCAAAGCTTGAAAATAATTCTAGGAGTTGGTGTTCCTCATGATTCATGACATAATTTACTATAGATAGAAACCTCCTATCTTCGATGTTTTGGTTTGGATTGATCAACGACTACCAAAAAACTTACTCACTCGATTATTCATGTGCCATGTGTTATGTTTATACGTCCACGGATCGTATATTAAAAACACCCAAGCATTAATAAAAAACGCCATGTTGACACCATGTTTTAGAAAAGTTAGTTTGAATATGCTATAAGGAATGAACTACCATTCCCTTAATGAACCCCGTTGGACAATAAAGACATAAAGATACATCGTCACCCAACAAAACATCGTCACCATAGCAACACATCGAATTCTCAACAGGACGAAGCTAGTCGCTTCGTGAAAATCAACTGATCCCGAATGGAAAGCAACAGGTGCCATATGCTTCGTGTTCACACAACTACCAACGTGCACAGCAAAGGAGACCCACTTTCTACAAGTCGTCCTACACGCTGTACTCAATCGCCATCTGCTGCTTCCATTCATCCCAGCTCGCTCGACGACGACGATGACGACGACGACCCAGCTGAAGTCCCGCTGACTGGTTCGTTGTACGATATTATTTTGTTGTCGTCTACCCACGTGCAGACGGGTTTCCACTAGTAGGTATCAAGTGGGGTTCACTCTACATTTATGTAGTGCTTTGTCGTGGTCGTGCTGCACTGTGCGCCCGATTCATTGAGTTGTTGTTAGTTTTTTTTTTGGGGCCGGAACATGCATAAACTATACAGCGGAAAAGAGTATTAAAACGAGAGCATGCCGGTTGTAGCACTGTACCTCCCACTACTTGCGTAGTGCATGAGTCTGGTGCACCTTCTTCGAGCGTGCATTTGCCACCACCCACTCGCGGCGCGACGTCCGCTCGGCTCGGAAGAAGCGGGTTTCTGTTTGTTTATAAACAAACCTGTTGTTGGTTGGTCGCGTCCGCGGTGATAATAATGGGGGCATTCCTGTTTGGGTTTTATTTGTACTGGTCCGCTATCGTTGTTTTCACGTTTGAGTAGCTTGCATCGAACGAGTCTGGCTGAGTGATATTTTGGAGTATGCTGGGGTTTATGCAAATACATTAATCTTCGCGTGTTTGGATGCGTTATCGTTTATGTTTGGTATGATGCAATCATACAGACGAATTGCTTGGGAAACAGTAGGTTATCTAAACCGCAGCATACATCAACGCTCTAAACAATCTGTGCTTCTATCCATAATGGTCACATAGGTATATAGTGGGAGCTCATGGTCTTCAACGCCAAATTAACTTAATTAATCCTACTTGAACTTCAATTCAACGCAAACTAGAGGATCTTTCGAGCAGTAGCAAAATTTGATCTATCTACAACCGTTGAAGCGTCGTTTAATCGCTGAATGTATTCTTGAATGATGAAACTCAAAAGCAAGGCGAACGAAATGAAGAACACAATACACTTCCTATTTTTTTCGGTTTCAAAAACCTCGCCTAGCACACCCACCGACCCGTACGTCCGTCAGTATAATTATTCCAATAAACCAAAACCAGACGCGACATCGAACGAACGATGACGGAAAGCGAAGAATGCATGCCCGTATGATGCCTATGTGACCATTTATGTCGGCTCGATTTACATACAAGAGAAGCTTCGTTCACACTTCTTCACCCTGCTCGTTGGTGTTAGCCTCAAGTGTCATCACGTCGGTTAATTTCAACACTTTTTTTTCTCTTTTTTTTCGAAAGCTAAGAAAGGAACTGCGACCATAAAGATAGAGTGCAATAGTCGTAGAATTAGAGCCAAATTGTAATGATAATTATTGCTGGGCTGGGCTGCCCAAGAGAGGCTATTAAAACCTAATAATCATTTCTGGGAGAGTCGAGCAAAATTAGGTCCAACCGTGAGGAAAGTGAAGGGCTTATTATCATTCCATGCCACGATCGTCGTGTGGCGGCGGCCGGCGGCTGCGAAGACCTAGTGGAACGAAGCTTCTCTTTTGCCGGAGATTTGACGGCCGGGTAGAAGCGCAGTTTAATTTATTCAACGTGTTGATGTCACAGTCCGATTAAGCAGAGCAACGACGAATATTTATGAAATGAATTCTTTGTATCCATGTAGGACGTTGCGGCTCTCGGTCGGAATGCCGGGGCCGTCTCGGGATGATCTATGGGAACTAATAATTCGTGGAACGAGCCAGCCAATTGAACTGCTGGTCACATATCACTTAATATCTTCGAAATTGTAGGCAGCTCGTTCCATGTCTTATTGTTCACCAATGCTTAGAGTCCAAATGGAACCTAGCATAGGATCAACGTGTCATCAACTCGTTGGTAGATTTTAGGTTATGCTAATTAAGCTTGTTTTAGCTCCCAGGAAACCATTTACTAATAATTCTTCTTGTTCTCTTTTCCCTATCCCATTAAAAAAAAACCATCGACCAAACGAACCTTGAACCATCCGAAAACCTTGGATTCGAAAAACAGATGGCAAGTACATGGTCCTACCGTCCGGTGAGCTGCACATCCGTGAAGTCGGACCGGAGGATGGCTACAAGAGCTACCAGTGCCGAACCAAGCACCGACTGACCGGTGAAACTCGACTTTCCGCTACCAAAGGACGTCTCGTTATCACAGGTAAGTCGATTGTTTACCCAACCCTTCGAATCGTACCTACGAAGATTTGAAGTCTTTAGGCGATAGCAATGTGGCGGCGGTTGGCGGTATCAATTTTGTACATACAGCTTTGGGGCTACAATGAGAAAAAACGCACATCATATTTTGCACTTTTATCGACTTGGTTCTATGTGTGGTGATGGTCTCAAGGTTGCACCCTCTGTGTATGTGTAAAAGTTACGTAATTTAGGTGTTATTCGAGCTCTCGTACGTATCGGTCGTTGCTGCAGTGTGTCGGTGTGAATTGTGAAGGCGTCCTCCGCCGACGGACTTCAACGTAGGTCGGCTGTGTAATTCTATCTATCTGTCCCTGGTATGGACACCAAATTGGATGTATAATTGTTTCTTCTGACTTGCTTGGATCGTTGTCATATTGTTGCGTGTTGAGTTACACGCACCTTGCTTCAGACTTTATTTAGTAGATCATGTTTCATAAGCTGCTTTGCTTACTGGAAATGGCTATTAACGCAATCATCATTTGTCTTTTGGGTGTTGTAGTTTGACCGTACACAACGATATAGACAAAACGGCTTTCGTCACTATCACGAAATGAAAATGATCTGCAAAGGATGCCATGTCATTTGTCAGTAACAAATACAATCAGTGAACAACATTTGCATGTTTTGTTTTCAGCTACATTTCTAATGAAATTAAATGAGCTACATGCATCTACGTCCTCAACTGTACACAGAAAAAAAATGAGTTGTACTGCAAACATTCATGGATGTAAACTTCCATTTCACTTCCTTCATGATGAATGACGCTCCTTTTATGTGCATCATTGTAATATAAATGGACACAATTCTTTTGAACTGTGTATGAAAAACAATAATGCGAATAAGATTGCTCAACATTAGAGAGGGTCTAGTACAAGAGATGAGCGGACTGGCTGGTTTTGAGCCACACGAACTGTCAAAGCCAGAGCCAATCGAGCAACGGCTATCCTGATTGTATTGGCAGTGTTGCTAGAAACCGCGTAGGCATAGGTTGCCAGGGCAGATTGTTTCGAATCCGTTTCACTTTTATACTAGACCCTCTCTACTCAAAATTATACTTTAATTCCAAAAATAAATAACAAGGGTCGAAAAAAATGTCTAACAAACTTATTTAATAATAAATTAATGAAGCTTAAGTGTGATAGTTTATTAGCTAGAAAAAGGTCTGAAGATGGTAGGTGTATAGTTCCGCTAGAGTACGGCATTATGAACATTGAATAGAAGATGAAAAGGAGCGAAGATCGACAGAACCAGTCAAACTCACACTTCTCTACCTAGCTCATACAACTTCAAAGCTCCTCATACATTGAAGCACGCTTTGAAAATGTGTAGGGTAACTGATGATGGTTGGACCTATTTAGGCCGGTTTCACACGACGTCAACATTCATATCGTATTTTTTTTATGAATGCAACATATAATTATGAAAAATGCGTGATTAGGGGAAAGATTTACCTTTCTTGTTTCTAATAATAACATAAAAAGTTAAATACTATGAACAAATGATGTTATAAAACGTTTTTATTCAGCAAAGAATTATGATGTTGGTTGGACCTATACTGATCTAGGTTGGACCTAAAAAATGATGATGGTTGGACCTATTTTTGCAAATGCTAGTTTAGCCCATATTTGTTCAAAAACTTTGTTTAGAGCTTATTAGTATCATGAAAAAAAAAACCCTTTTTATACAGTTTTTATGAATTTGCTATTTAAAAAAATCAAGAAATTTGAGTTTAACTTCGTTTTTAAAAAAGTTCACTTTCCACGCATTAGCTATTCATCATGGCTCATTTTCTCGGAAATCATTGACCCGATTTGGAAATTTTTTAACGTCAATGTATAGGTATTGAGGTCCCATTGAAAGCTATCGAATATTTTTGGAATCGGTCTACTGGTTCCGGAGATATGGCCGGAACAAGTTCCAGGGTATATGGAACATGGACCTAATTTTGACATGGAAGGAATAAAACCTATCATGCAACACTTCACATTACTTCCAAATTCGATAACAAGATCAATAACAAATTTGAGTGCCTTGGACCACATTGGCCACTTCCGGGCATGTTCAGGGTGCCCCGGGGAATTTTTCAATTTCGCTCTTATAGTTTTTTTTTTATCCTAGGAGTTTTTTTTTTCGAAAATAAGTTTCAGTTAACAATTTTTAGTTTGTTAACATTTTATTTCAAGTTAATTCACACACAGAAGGTGTATGAGAAGTGCTTAGTGTAAATTCATATTAACAGATTCTTTCGGCGCTTTCGTGGTAGTTCGGAAATCGGTGGTTACCCTTTCAGCCAACCTGACGATGGAATTCCTCCTTTAAATTTACGCCTAACTAGTGACTCAAGGTCTTTAGCAGCTTCCAAGATCTTTTTGTTCGTCTTGGGACTGCCAGAAGCAGCGCGCATACAAACCCAATCCTCTAGCTGGTTCTCCAAATCAACACTCAACACTATTTCCCTTCCATATTTCTTGCCGTGGTTTCCCTTAATTTTTGCGTGAAGCGTCGTTTTCGGAATATTGTACCTTTTCTGTGCCTGATACGCGGTAAGTGATTTATTTCTTACTAAAAAAACAGTCTCTTGAAGATTTTTGCCGGATAACTCTTTTCTTTAGCCATTTTTTCAATCGAAGAAACTGATCACTTGGCCAAAACAAAATCGAATTTCAAATCAGCTGCGCATGAAGGATGTACACAAACCGAAGCGCACCTAGCGGCCGTCTTAGGAAACACATAGGTCCAACCATCATCATGCGTAGGTCCAACCATGATCATATTTATCTATTCGAATTTCGTCAATTATTCAACTCGTTGTGAATATGTCCAGAGAAAGATTGATTAGCATCAAAACAACAGCAAAATGTTATGGAAAATTTTGATTTTTTGAAACCTAGTAATTCCTTCCGCGGTCCATAACTTTTAATGGCACATTAGAACAGTCAGAACAAGTTATTGCATCTAAATTTAATGATTATTTTGTCGACAGCGTTTAATTGATTAATCAATTCATTGAATTGGTCCATGAACCTGACGAAATAAAACAGTAATTGGGGAATTTACGTATTCTCGGCAACCTAAGCAGCGACCTTCTTTCTATAGCCTTTTTCTCTAAGGAACGCACACATATGCAGTATTGGTTTGTTTACAATCTATTGCTGCCAGCTGCTCTAACAATTTCAGTCGAAAGAATTGTCAAAAACTGTTTTGAAACGCTTTTACAAAGCTCCAATCTTCTCTAGTGAGAGCGAGTATTGTCAGCAACCAGTTTTTCTTCGGCAACCGTTCCATTTGAACTGCATGTAAATCTGCTGTTCTATTATCGGCAACTCGAAATCAGCTACAATTTGTAGTGCGTGTGTTTCATTTCAAGAAAACCTTGCTAGATTGCTTTTTCTCAGTGGTAAAAATATAGTCAAATTGAAGCTGAAAGCATAAAGAATCGTTTGCATGCATTCAGCGAAGTGTTTTCGTAAGAAAATCCAGTGAAAATAGTGTTTCAATTTGGGTTGCCGAAAATAGTCTGTCATGCCGAAGCCGTCATTTCCCCTAGTAGTTGTAGATTTGAAGGTAGATGAACTTAGAGTTATTTGTTTTTCATTAGGAAAAGCGGCTGGAATAGATAATGTCAATGCTAGAGTTATTCAAGATTGCTTTCATGTCATTGGCCACATCTTGCTGGACCTTATTAATAAATCATTGCAGACTGGGCATGTGCCACAAATTTGGAAGGAATCCTTGGTGGTTTCTATTCAAAAAGTTACTGAAACGAATAAAGCCGAACAGTTTCGTCCCATCAACATGTTGCATACATTAGAAACAATTTTCGAACTTGTTGTACAAGGCCAGCTGTTAGAGTATTTAAATAGTAATAATTTGTTGATACCCTAACAATCGGGATATCGGGAAGGCAGTGTGTGCTTTGGAGTTGCGAGTACTGCAAATAAATGGTTTGAATGCTATTTGTGTGACAGAACACAACGGACTGTTTTTAATGATTCTGTTTCAAGTCCCATGGGGAATAACCTTGGAGTGCCCCAAGGAAGTGTATTAGGCCCTTTTTATGTATTATGTATATTAATGACTTTCGACGTGTTTTACGATTTTGCTTGAATGAAGATTTGCATTCTCTAAGCAGATAGTCCATTGACATCAATCGAATGTGCAGAAAGGCAGCTTCCACACCTGCGTAGGATATCCCACCCATTCAACACTCATGGACCGGGACCAACGCCTTTACTTCCCTTCCGAAGGAAGACGTGACCAGAGATTTTTATGCTTCAGAAACATCCCACCGACCTCGGCTGGGATTGAACCCAGACCCATTGGGGTGAGAAAGCAGTTTCGCTTGCCACTACACCACCGGCGCCGGTTTACTACACTATATTTGATAGAGCACGCTTCCTCTACCAGGTGTTGCTTTTGATTTTCCTGGATGTGTCTTAATCAAAGGTGGTAAATGTGATAGAAAGAAATATGGGGGGAAAATGTCACGTCAAACGCACACCTTTTACCTAACCCGTACGATGTACCTGGAGATTTGAAGTAATACTATGTCTTCAAATCTACAGACAAAAAGCGTGCGCCCGCCTTTGCTCATTACTGTCTGCGGCTGTGGAATAGTTCTAGCGACGTTTCATTACTACCTAAACCCCCAGCATTTCCAGTCGATGGTGTGTTATAATGCAATTCGTCTTTACCCAACTATTGTGTTGCTCCTTTCGTCATGACCAACGTGGTCATCTCGGAGAAAAAGCAGTAGGGTGGTTGTTGCGTGCTGTACCATCATTCATGTTAGATAGCATTTCCAACCAACTCTGAAAATAGCAAAATTCGCGTATGAAGTAACATAAAAACTCTTTGAATGTAACAACTCAAGGCGGGAGTAACCGTCAACAATGCTGATGATGGTACAGCATGCAACAACCACCCTACTGGAAATGCACTCGGCAACGTGGGGCTTTAGGT